CTCCTTTCCTCTCTTTCTCTATCCTTCCCACTCTTCTCCCTCCTTTCCTCTCTTTCTCTCTCCTTTCCTCTCTTTCTCTCTCCTTTCCTCTCTTTCTCTCTCCTTTCCTCTCTTTCTCTCTCCTTTCCTCTCTTTCTCTCTCCTTTCCTCTCTTTCTCTCTCCTTTCCTCTCTTTCTCTCTCCTTTCCTCTCTTTCTCTCTCCTTTCCTCTCTTTCTCTCTCCTTTCCTCTCTTTCTCTCTCCTTTCCTCTCTTTCTCTCTCCTTTCCTCTCTTTCTCTCTCCTTTCCTCTCTTTCTCTCTCCTTTCCTCTCTTTCTCTCTCCTTTCCTCTCTTTCTCTCTCCTTTCCTCTCTTTCTCTATCCTTCCCACTCTTCTCCCTCCTTTCCTCTCTTTCTCTATCCTTCCCACTCTTCTCCCTCCTTTCCTCTCTTTCTCTATCCTTCCCACTCTTCTCCCTCCTTTCCTCTCTTTCTCTCTCCTTTCCTCTCTTTCTCTCTCCTTTTCTCTCTTTCTCTCTCCTTCCCTCTCTTTCTCCCTCCCCTTTCCTCCCTTGCTCTCTCCTTTCCTCTTTCCCTTTCTCTCTCCTTTCCTCTCTTTCTCTCTCCTTTCCTCTCTTTCTCTCTCCTTTCCTCTCTTTCTCTATCCTTCCCACTCTTCTCCCTCCTTTCCTCTCTTTCTCCCTCCTTTCCTCTCTTTCTCTATCCTTCCCACTCTTCTCCCTCCTTTCCTCTCTTTCTCTATCCTTCCCACTCTTCTCCCTCCTTTCCTCTCTTTCTCTCTCCTTTCCTCTCTTTCTCTCTCCTTTCCTCTCTTTCTCCCTCCTTTCCTCTCTTTCTCCCTCCTTTCCTCTCTTTCTCTATCCTTCCCACTCTTCTCCCTCCTTTCCTCTCTTTCTCCCTCCTTTCCTCTCTTTCTCTATCCTTCCCACTCTTCTCCCTCCTTTCCTCTCTTTCTCTCTCCTTTCCTCTCTTTCTCTCTCCTTTCCTCTCTTTCTCTCTCCTTTCCTCTCTTTCTCTCTCCTTTCCTCTCTTTCTCTATCCTTCCCACTCTTCTCCCTCCTTTCCTCTCTTTCTCTCTCCTTTCCTCTCTTTCTCTCTCCTTTCCTCTCTTTCTCTCTCCTTTCCTCTCTTTCTCTCTCCTTTCCTCTCTTTCTCTCTCCTTTCCTCTCTTTCTCTCTCCTTTCCTCTCTTTCTCCCTCCTTTCCTCTCTTTCTCCCTCCTTTCCTCTCTTTCTCTCTCCTTTCCTCTCTTTCTCCTCCTTTCTCTCTCCTTCCACCTCCTTTCCTCTCTTTCTCCCTCCTTTCCTCTCTTTCTCCCTCCTTTCCTCTCTTTCTCCCTCCTTCCCTCTCTTTCTCTCTCCTTTCCTCTCTTTCTCTATCCTTCCCACTCTTCTCCCTCCTTTCCTCTCTTTCTCTCTCCTTTCCTCTCTTTCTCCCTCCCCTTTCCTCCCTTGCTCTCTCCTTTCTCTCTCTTTTTCCCTCTCCCTCCCTCCCTTACTCTCTTCCTCCATCCCTCTATCCTCTCTTCCCTCTCCGCCGATCAACAAAGACGCCGCTAAACAGAACATAAAAAGACCTCGCCTACCCAATAACACACGTCCTCCCTGCTGTCGAAAACACTAGTTCGCTGACCCACCGCTCATCCCGTGCTTGACGACCTAGGCGCCTGAGGGGTCATCTCGTGTGTGTGTGTGTGTGTGGGGGGGGGTGTGGGTGTGTGTTTGTGTGTTTGTGGGTGTGTGTTTGTGGGTGTGTGTGTGTGTGTGTGTGTGTGTGTGTGTGTGTGTGTGTGTGTGTGTGTGTGTGTGTGTGTGTGTGTGTGTGTGTGTGTGTGTGTGTGTGTGTTTGTGTGAGTGAGTGTGAGTGTGACTGTGATTGTGATTGTGAGTGTGTGTGTGAGTGTGAGTTGGTTGAGTGAGTGTGAGTGTGTGTGTGTGTGTGAGTGTGAGTTGGTTGAGTGAGTGTGTGTGTTTCATTTTCACGATCGTACCTAAATTACTCCTTTCTTGAGATCCTTTCCCTCCTAGAGTTTACAGAGAGAGAGAGAGAGAGAGAGAGAGAGAGAGACAGAGAGAGAGAGAGAGAGAGAGAGAGAGAGAGAGAGAGAGAGAGAGAGAGAGAGAGAGAGAGAGAGAGAGCGCTCTGGATCGTCATTTTTATGATGTTCTATAAAAGCGGCCGCCAGAGTTTAACCCCCCTTCTCCCCCCCTCTCCCCCCATCCCTCCAGCGTCCGGGTTTATACGCTAATGAAAATGACGGGAAAAAATGAACTTTTCCCCATCACTTCTCTTCTTGTTTTGAGCATCTTTTGTTCCAGGTGAAGCTAGCTCAGTGATTTTTCTCTATTAATGAGTTGGCATTAATATTGGTGCGTTTATCTTTTATTAGTGAAATCAAATATCGGAGGAAATTGTTTTTGTTACAGGAAGGGGAAAGTCGTGAGGAATTGGCAAAAATATTGTTGAATGGTGTGATTATGTGTGGATATGTGTGTTTTGTG